TTTTTTTTTTTTTTTTTTTTTTTTGGTTTTTCGAGACAGGGTTTCTCTGTAGCTTTGGTGCCGATCCCGGAATTAGCTCTTGTAGACCAGGCTGGCCTCGAACTCACAGAGATCCGCCTGCCTCTGCCTCCCGAGTGCTGGGATTAAAGGCGTGCGCCACCACCGCCCGGCCTGTCTTGGCTTGCTTTAAGCTTTAGCTTTTTGGGTAAACTTGTCTTACAAAAAACTGAAATATTCTGTAATGCTGTATCTGTTCTCCAAGAAAGACCCTTTTCCAAGGTCAGTCAATTATACAAATGCCCACAACTACCTCAAGGCCTTAAAGAAAACTCTTTAAAGTTCTAAGAACTATACTTAAATTCACACTACGTATAAATATAATTAATCACAAGACTAACCTTCCTTATCCCGCTGCATGTTTCCAAATTTAAGCCTAAAACAAGTGATTAAAAGCAAATGAAGTTTGTATTTTCAGATATACCTAATAGTGTAAAACTTTAAGACAATTCCGAACCCTTTCAGCCTCCCTGCCTTAGTGCTTCCCCTCCTCCCCTGGGAGCCAAGGACCTAACAGCTACACATGCACGTATGTTCTACAGAAATTGGGGCAAGATAACCTTTAAGATGTTGACTCAGTTCCTGAACAATTACCCATACACGTATGTTTTGATTCAGTCCCTTGGGAAACAGGGTCAAAATGACCTCTTACCTCATCTGATCTGGCAACAGCTTTTCAGCCAATTATGGGTAATAGCCCTTTCAAATAAGCCAATCATAGTGGTCAAAGAACAACCCCCCTTGCTTCTGTGGCCTTCTCCTTTAAAAGTAGCCTGTACCAGCTATTCGAGGTCTCTCGGCATCCTGAATGCTGAGGGACCCTGTCATGACAGAATTAATAAAATCCTCATGCTTTTGCATCAGCTGTGGTGTGTGAGGTGGTCTCTGGGGCGGCTCCTCCTCGGTGTTTGGACGCTAGGGTCTAGTGAAGGAAGAGTCATAATCCAACTCTAGAGCCAGCTTTGCAATAAAGAACAGCACAAAACAGTTTTAACATTGTCTACATCAAAATGTCACCTGAATTTCTGCTAACCCAAATCCAGTAACCAGAGTTCAGGTGGGTGGCAGAGACAGCAAAAATATCCAAACCATCTCTGTCTCGGCTCCGTGCTTACAAGAAAACTTACATAGACAAACTTTTCAACAAAACAAACATATTCAGTATTTGCACATTCCCTTCTGACCTTCTATAACCTTTTATAAACCTTTAATCCATGCTACCTCTCTTTATTCTTTCAGTCACCTGCTTTCTCCCTCGCTTTCCAGTCAACATACCAAGGTCTTTCTCACTTTTTACCAATGTCCTTCTCTCTTTTCAGACAACATAAAACTCTCACCAAGAGCCAGTGGCCAGTGACTCATTGCCTTGGCCCATGGAGTCAAACCTTGGCCAGGTTTGGCCAGAAGTCACAGGCCCCAGGTCAGACCTTGGGAACCCATCCATCAGCATGGGAAGAGGAGGGTAACTTCTCCAACCATAGCAATTATCCCCAGATTTCTCTGTTCAGTGTTTGAAATCTTAGTGGGACTGTGGCTGCCAGCTTTGCTATATTGTCACAGACTGCATAACCCAGCCATCCCACCCACACAAGCGTGCTGTCCCACAGTGCCTTGCTTGTATCGCATGCCTGGTCCTGCCTGACCATGTTTCCCCTGCCTCTTTCCAATGAAAAGTTTAAGACCAATAAAGGCTGTTTGTCTTGTCCCTCTTAGGAAAATATACTATGGGGACCTCTAAGTGCCAGCCTGTGTCCACTCGGGGTCCAGAAGGAGACTTACAACAAGAACAGGGCTTAGATCAGAGGACAAAAAGACTTCTCCACTATGTACTTTTTTGCATCAGTTTCTTTATTTCAGCCTCCTATTAAGTTTTCCACTACATACACACACACACACACACACACACACACACACACACACACACACACAGCAATTCTCTGATCTTGAATATTTTCACAAAAAAAGGCAGAGAAGAGTTGACCGGAGGTATACTGTCAGTATCTTTATGGTGCTGGGGAGGTGTGGCTGGAAAAAAAAAAAAAACGACCAGGCATCCCCTAGGAAGCTTCTAAATTCCTCCCCTTTCTCTACATTCTTCAATTAGAAACTCCTAGTTTAAACCACCACATTTAAGGGCATAGTTTAACACACAAATTCCTCTTCTCCCCCTTTTTAGAATTTTAAGTTCAAGGACACCAAATTATACAGTTCAAAATTAGCAATTTTGCTCTGTTTGTTTATTTGCTGTGAAAATTAAGCATTAGTTTTAGCATTAGATCAGGAGAAAGGAACATCATCCATATAGTGAGTGACTGACACCTCTGGAAATCTGAAAGGCATTGGCTTAGTACTTTTAGCCCTGGTTGTTCTTGTTCTGTGCCAAAAGTTGGGTTTGTTTTCCTTTTTTCTCCCAAAAAGGGACCATTGATATCATTCCTACTACTAGGGAAAAATAAAAACCCTTTCCTCTTAATGAGGGAAAAACAATAAAAAAACATTTAAACAAAAGTCAACAAACATACAAGAAGCAAATTCTAAGGTCTGGGCTATCTGAGCTAGCTCATGCTGCAGCGCTGGTTGCCTTCTGGCTCTGTTGGGCCCTGGCCAGGAAGCGGTGACAGGCAGCTTCCAGGCTGAGAGCTCTGGGTTCCAGTCAGACACTGTGCGAGGACAAGTTCAAGTGCACATGGCTGGCCTGGAAGCCTAAAGGACCTGGAGTTCACTCTGCCTGCCCTGCCAAGATGTGTGCGGCAGAAACTTCTTCTCTCTCCATTTTAAAAAAGCTATTTGACAAGGCTTTTATTGCCAGAGTCCAGCTTGAGTTCAGCCAGGTCCAAAGGGGTGTGGGAAAATAGATTATGTGCCCAGAAATCACACAGTGTGCCAGACTGAACATGCCAGTCAAGTGTTAGCAAGTCCCATACAGAGGTCGGAGGATAAAATTCCCCCACAGAGAAGCGGAGCACAGTGGTATATGCAGCTGGACAAGCACTCCTCACGGAACTGCCACTGCGTGTGGATCTCGCTTCATCACTACCACAGATCCCAGGCAGGTATGTCAAAAGCAGACTGTGAACTTGGGGTCAAATGCCAGGGTGCCATAGTCCCATGTCGACTCCAGAACCAAGACTGACAGTAATGGTCGCAAAGCTGCGGTGGCAGAGGTTGCAATGTTTTGCTATTTGGTTTTTTGGAAAACTTAGAAGCCAAGCGTGCCTAAACTCACAGTGATCCTCCTGCTACAGGGTCCTCAGTACAAAGTACAGTTTTGTCACAAAGGAGCTCAATAATGACCCATGGTAGTAGAACAGACCCAGTCTTCATTCTGGATGCTGTAGGCACTACCTGAGCAGGCCTGAGGCAATATGCGTACCACAGAGACAGATCTTGCTGCATCCTACTAAGGGATTGATTTAACAGTCTGTCCCTGTACTCATAATTCTTACTCATTTTACTGCAAACTTCTTTTCCTTCAGTCCTGTCTTGGTTTCTCTTTTCTTTTCCAACTTCCTCGTTTCTGACCTGCCCCTGTCACTCAGGGGTCACGAGCCAATCGTCGCCTCCAGCCATAACGTCATCCAGAATAGGGCGGGCACTTCCGGCCCACCGTGTTTCGGACTGACGGACTCCAGCCTCCCTGGGACGGAAGGAGACTCTCGTGATCCGTGTGTGCTGGGCTGTGCTGTGACCTGCTGCCGGGAGCTGTGAGGAGAGTCCAGCGCCATGGTCAGTGAGAGGCTGTCTTCCCCCTGTGGAGAGGAGCTGCACGAGCCAGTGTGGGGGAGCAGGCAGCGCAGCTCGGTGCCCGGTATCATTTCCTTTGGTCCCCTGAGGTCCCTGAGATTCCCAGGCAGAAAGAGGATCACTGAATGACTTCGCTCTGTAGAATGAGCCTGCGCAGACATGGGAGCAGAGCCTTTGAGTGAAAACATCCTTGTCACGCTGCAAGGTTTTTTGGTTTGTTTGTTTGTTTTTTTAAATCCCAAGGAAAAGACAAATTTTATAACTCACAGAGCTCTTTGGCCACTCTAGTGCCTTTTAGAGGTACTGCACTTGGCCCTGACCATTCAGGTGTAGGATCCCGCTGCTATTAATTCTGTGCTTGACGTTAATGCATTTGTACGTAAGATACCATGGTGGTTCGGCCATTGGTGTCAGTAAGTCCCGACATCCTGGGTTTCCTGGCATCATGTGCCAAAATTGACTCTATATTAGTTATGTTTTTTTTTCTGTTTGCTCTCATGTTCTTTTTTTTTAAACATTTATTTATTTATTTATTTATTATTTATACAATATTCTGTCTGTGTGTATGCCTGCAGGCCAGAAGAGGGCACCAGACACCGTTAAAGATGGTTGTGAGCCACCATGTGGTTGCTGGGAATTGAACTCAGGACCTTTGGAAGAGCAGGCAATGCTCTTAACCTCTGAGCCATCTCTCCAGCCCCTTAAATAGAAAATCTTAAGACAGGTAGAGAGACACTTCATAAGCACATATGGCATGGTATATGTTATTTTTCTCTTTTTTAACCACCCTATCAATTTCTTATACATGACACACACATATATTCATATCTGGTATTAAATTNCTCTCTCTCTCTCTCTCTCTCTCTCTCTCTCTCTCTCTCTCTCTCTCTCTCTCTCTCTCTGAAACAGGGTTTCTCTCTGTAGCCTGTCCTGGAACTCATTCTGTACATCAGGCTGACCTCAGACTCACAGATTCTCGCCTGCCTCTGCTTCCCAAGTGCTGGGTTTAAAGGTGTGTGCGCCACCTCCAAGTTCGGTCCATTCTTTATTACAGTTGCATTCAAAGTTAGAAGACGGAAGGTGTCACTGTGTGAAGTCTTTATTCAGTCATGTGTTGATTGTGTTTTCATTCATGATGACCTTCCTTTTCTCGTGGGATTTCTGTTGTTGGCAACATAAATGGTTAGATACTTTATTGTCCTTTTGTTGTATCTAGAGCACAAATTCTGTATTGTTATAATATTGGCATAATAGCCAAAATGATGGCAACCATAAGGTTGCGCTCTACTGTTTGTTAGTCCAGCTCCCTACTATGGTGAGCCCATCCTGCGTTAGGCACAGTTTTCAGTGTGGTCCCTACCTCTCCAAGGTTAGATGTGCAGTGTTAGAGCAATTCCTTTAAAAGAGCACTTTAGTCAAGCTTGCACAAATATGGGAGAGGATGGGCAGGTAGGCCCCACACAGCTGGGGAAGCGTGACCCCAGCCAGAGACAGATGAGTCCACCCATGTGTTTCAGCACATGGATTGTTACTGTGGAAGTCAGTGTTGTCCCCCAGGTCTCTCACCTCTGCAGTCCCCAAACACAAAATGTCGCATGGTGCCATCCCAATTGAGTGTGGTCTGGGCTGTGATCAGAAAAATTTGTGACTCCCTATGTTTTCTGGAATTGAAGACTCTTGGGTTTAATTTGTTAAAATAGTTAAAACAGCAGGACTGTTCCATGCTTTTTATCTTAGCACTGGAGAGGCAGAGGCATGCAGGTCTCTGAGTTTGAGGCTAGATAGGTCTATAGAGCTTGTTCCAGGGTAGCCGTGGATGCACACAGTATCTATTGGTCTACAGAACTTGCTCCAGGGTAGCCGTGGATGCACACAGTATACAGCAGTTATTTCTCTCAAACACCGTCCCAAAACAGTGAAGTAAAATTTTAAACCTTTGTACATTGGGTGGCAAATCTACCTGGTTAGAAATGCAGCTTCCAGACGGCATCATCTGCAATAGTCATACTTATGCCCAACGAGACTGACTCCCTCCATCCCTTCCAACAGACCTGCCCTGAGGGAACTGGATAGGGACACAAACAGGGATAATGCCGTGCACTCAGAGAAAAGATACAGGCTTGTTTAATCTCTTCTTAGATAGGATAGGGAAGGTTATGTTAAGGACGTCTGTAACCCATCTCAGCGAGTTGGCGCTCTATCATTTGAAGGAAATAGTTTTTCCTTCTGTGTCTTTCTCTCTCTGTAACTCTCTTTCTGTGTTTTCCTCTCTCGTTGGCTTAATTTCCCACTCCTTTCCTTTAGAGCTCTTTCTTCCTAGGTTCAGTTTCTGTAACGGTGTATATTTGTTGAACACCCCCAGGCTCCTGTCTTTGAATGCTTGGTCCCGTTAGTGAAACTGTGTAACATTAGGAGCTATGCCCTTGTGGGGTTAGAGGTGTGTCAGTGTGGTGGGCGCTGAGGACTCACAGTCTCTGGGCGAGCAAGTGTTTCCTTCTGCCTGGCTGCTTGTGTATCAGGATGGAACGCTCAGCCAGGGGCATGCACGCTGTGATGCTTCCTTTCACGATGAGAATGAGCTAACCTTCGATCACTGTGTTCACTCCTTCAGTTAAAAGAGTTGGTTTGGTTATAGTGCTTCACCGCATTACAAGAGTCATATTTTGACACATTATTTCTCTGTGTTTTGTACATGTCCTGGCAGTTCAAGTAAAGCTAAATGAAAGAGTAAAGGATGAATCATGTGGGTGTCATAGTTATAGAAATAATTTTTTAAGGTTAATTCTTTATGTATATTAGTGCTCTGTCTGCTTGTATGCCTTTATTTCCGTTGAGGCATCAGGTCTCACCAGAGATGATTGGGAGCAGCCATGTAATTGCTGGGAATGGAATTCAAGACCTCTGGAAGAGCAGCCAGTTGGCTGATTTTTTGAGAAAACATTCCGTCTGTGGCATGGTTATTTCTAGAAAGTCTTTCATTTCTCTGGTTTTATCTTGACTGAGAGGTGTTCAGGTTCCATGAGTTTGAAAGCATTCTGATGCTTACGATGCTATTGATATCCCACTTTTATATGTGGGGTCCTGGTAGGATGCATGAGGCTAGTTCAGTTTTCTTACATCTCTTGAGACTTGCTTTGTGTCTGAGTAAGTGTTCAATTTTGGAGAAAGTTCTGTGATGTGTTTGTTTTGGGATATTCACCAGAGAAGACTTTTGGGGCATGTGTTTAAGCCAATAGAGAGTCCTTATTATCTGGGCTGAACTATACAGGTTGTTCTTGACCCCAGTATATCCCTGAGACTTTTTCAGGATGTGCTTTTAAGCCAGAAAACCTGTTCTGAGTTGGCACAACAGGATTTTTTTTCCCAAACCGTACATAGTTTCCTTTATGTCATGATAAGTCAGTCTAATCTTTTCAATTTTGTAGGATGATTTTAATGGAATTTAACTGTTGATTTAATTCAGAAATGGAAACTTTTGCTACCATTAGGTCTTGATCAACCTTTCTTTAGAAAGCATCAGAAGAGGCCCATTCAGTCAAACCATTGCTACATGCTCAACACTCAGCCCTCGGTTCTTGGTAATATCATTATCCTGATGCCCTAGCCCATGAAGAACAACATTGCTTTCCCTGTCCCCACTCTCGACTAGTTTTGTCAGCCAATTGGCTGACAGTCTGGTTAATTTTTATCCTTATGAAGTATATGATTTGGGCCTGGTGTCTAGCACAACTAGCAATCCTGGCCTATGTCTGGGTGGAAATGATTAAAACCATCTGCATAGTCCCTTCCTGTGGCATAGAGACTGATTCTGCAGGGATTTCCTGTTTTCTATAGGCCAGAATCTTTTTAATGAAGTTTTCCAGGAAGCCTCAGTTTCACAGACATAGTCTTTGGAATGGAAACTCCCTTATTCTGATGACCAGAGGCCCAGCCACAATGTATACTCTGTATTTCTAGTTCAAAAGATAAGCCCTCATATTTTTCCTCTCTTTAATACAATCCAACATTTAAACTGGGCATCAATAAGCAGAGGTGAAAATGAATATGAATTGCTGTTCTGTGGTTGTATTAGGTAATACCTTTTCTGAACCTGTCTTACTTCCCAAGTCCAGGTCTAAGCACAGTGGGGGGTTTTATCAGATTCGGGAGGAGGTAGACAAAGAGGTGGAAGAGACTTAGGGATCAAGGAAACCTAATTGTAAGGGGTCTGTAGTGCATAGAAAATGCATTTGGCAGCAAATATGGCATCTGCTTTTTTGACCTGGGTATGGTGGATTCATGGGCTTCTTCTCGCCATAGGAGTGGAGAGAATCACCTTTAGGGTCATTTTTAAGTTAGTTTCAGTGTCACTTTGGTTTCTTGCTTGACCCAGGACTGGCACAGGAGAAAGTGTAGGTGGACTCGGAGGTCAGCTGGGTCTCCAGGACAGTCCAATTAATAGCATAGTGGAGGGCTGGGGGGAGGGGAGGGCTGGGGGGGAGGGGAGGGCTGTAGTGACCTGAAAAAGGAATGGTTAAACTTTTCTGCCAGCTGTTCTCGGAGCCTTGGAAGCAATGGGGGATTTTTCTTAAATATAATCCTTCGTTATATCAGGTACAGCTGGCAAAAGAAAAGCAAAGGAAGGAGGCTGATCACCTACCCCTTATTTGGTAGACTCTAATGAGAGTTTTGTTAAAGTTTTTATTTATTTATTTATTTTCTTGTCATGTTTATTCTTTTTAACCTGGCCAGAACTCTGAGGTTTGTGTGCGCAGTTAAGTTTTTGACCCATGTCTAAACTTTATCTGTTAATTGCAGGAGTCCCCCAGTCATCCCGATATAATCTATTTTCCCAGGAAACCTTTGAAGAAAGAGCTGGAACTCTGCGTTTAGTGTCTTTAACTCCTGGGGCACCTGGTCCAGGTTTGTTGCCCACTGGGTCACCACTGCCAATAAAGCTGAAGAATGCACCTTGCAGGTTCAAGACAGTGTAGACTTGTTTC